CACTTTACCCTACATTGCTGGGATCACAAAAAAGATCTCCAAAATCTTGAATAAACACAAGATCCAGGTCCGTTTCAACACATTACATAAAATCCGTGATCTGGTTCCGTCTGTAAAAGATGTGATTCCGGACATACAATACCCTGGTGTCTACAAACTAAGTTGCCTCTGTGGTAGTAGTTACATTGGAGAAACCAAACGCCATATCTCGGACCGCATTCGTGAACATAAAGCAGACCTTAAACACGGTAGGACCAACACCTCGGCCGTAGCAGATCATTGTTCTAATTCAGTAGGCTCACATGCCATTGACTTTTCCAAGACGGAGGTTCTTTGTAAGCCATCTGGCTTCCATGAGAGATTCGTTCATGAGGCTATCCACATATACAAACACAGAGACAATTTCAACCGAGAAGATGGATTCTATCTTAGCAATCATTGGAAAGATTTGATAAATCATTTCAGTTCTTGATTGATTGTTCACGCTTACAGTGGCTTTCAGACAGCATACATAAAAACAAATTTCGTCTCCCCCCTCCTCTTTTCAAAAAATAGATGGACTAGTCCTGGCAAACAGCCAATCGTTGCGCGTGACGCAAACGCTATATTTTTTATTTATATAAATAAATAAATATGCCGTTTTCAAAATAAATTTATGCAAACCGACACACCTGATGATGACCGTTTGAGTTATGGTCGAAACGTCGTGAGAATTTTTATTGTTTTATATATATTTTGTTATTTTGTTGTTTATCTTCAACGTGACTTTACCGAAAAAACTAAGAATATGAATTACTGCAGTCACGAAAGCTTTAAATCAAAATTTAATCGCCTCTACGGGGAGGGTTTTCACATAACTTTAAGATCCTTCAACAAACTCTGGGATAAGAAAGCTCAGCTGATCGAGTCTCTCACCTTCCTGAAGAGATGCCGCGACTCTGGGGTAATACCAATCGCATTTACACTCACCTCTGCTACTGTAACTTCTTCTAATGCGAAACGAATTCTTTTCAAAACTAGCTTAGCTCTTATCTCAGAAAAAATCAGACTTATACGCACAGAACTAGATCAGTTAGACAAGACACTCTACAAATCACACTTATCATTGACGGCAATAATGTCCACATCGGATTGGGAACATGTAGACAATATGACTGCCTCTTCAGCTGCTACTATGTCGACCAAATGTAAGGAAAACCTGATTTCCAAATTTAACCTCCTCTTAAACAAAAGACCGGACCCACACACCAAAAAGTTAGACGTTAATAAAGTCGTAATTAATCGCAGTAACAGTTCTATTTCCGATGGTCTGAAATCCGTTTTAGCTAAAGGTCTAAACTTTGCAGTCACACCTAAACACATACCAGTTAATGATATAATTGCCCAAGTAGACGTTGCTCTCAGGGGCCTGGGTCACATCGCTGCAGACGTAGCAAGATCTGAAATCGCTGCAACCCTCAAAAACGCTAAGATGCCAGCTAGCAACCTCAGCAAAGATGAGCGTTTTGAATTATATAAATTAAAAAAGAGGAATGATATTGTAGTTCTCTCAGCTGACAAAGGCAATGCTACTGTTATCATGGATAAAATAGAATACAACAACAAAATTAAAGAATTACTCGACGATGGTAGTTATACAAAAATAAAAAGAGATCCCACCAACAGCCTCGTCACACAAACCAACAAAATAATTTCTGATTCAACCGCATTAATTGATCAATCTAAACAGTTTTCGTTGAAACCTTCTGCTGCCAGGCCACCAAGATTATACGGCTTACCAAAAATACATAAAGTTGATACACCTCTTCGTCCCATAGTCTCTACTATCAGCTCCCCCACCTACAAACTAGCTCGTTTTTTGTCTGAAATCCTGCGTCCTTTCACTGGAAAGACCACCTCTGCGGTACAAAATTCTACTCACCTGGTATCAACAATCAAGGGTATTTCCCTGTCCCCAGACGACCTGCTTGTCAGTTTTGATGTAGTTTCCTTATTCACCAAGGTTCCTGTACCTGACACCATTGCAATCATTGAAGACTTGGTTCATCAAGGACTAAACACTGAGGTACCCCCCCTGGTGAGACACTGTTTAACCAATACATACTTCACTTGGAATGGAACTTTCTACAAACAAACTGAGGGCACCCCAATGGGCTCCCCCCTTTCTCCAGTTATAGCTAACATTTTCATGGAGAAATTTGAGACTGACGCCATCCAGACTGCCACTCTGCGCCCAACCTTATGGAAGAGGTACGTGGATGACACTTTTGTCATCTGGCCACATGGCCGGCCTGCTCTAGACCAATTCTTCGACCACATCAATTCCATACACCCAGCCATCAGATTTACCATGGAAGTCGAAATAGATGGCAAGATACCTTTTTTGGATGTCCTAATTAAAAAGAGACCTGATGGTTCAATGAGCCACTCTGTCTACAGGAAAGCTACCCATACGGATGCTTATCTGAAACCGGATTCCCACCACCATCCATCACAGAAGAATTCTCTCATCAAGACTCTGTATCATAGAGCCCAATGCATATCCGACCAGGAACACATAAGCAGTGAACTCAAGCACGTACACCAAGCTCTTAGGGCTAATGGTTACTCCGACTATACAATCCGCAAAGCTATCACTCAAACCATGAAGAAGAACCCTCTTGAGGAGCCTTTCAAAACCATCACTTTACCCTACATTGCTGGGATCACAAAAAAAAAAAGATCTCCAAAATCTTGAATAAACACAAGATCCAGGTCCGTTTCAACACATTACATAAAATCCGTGATCTGGTTCCGTCTGTAAAAGATGTGATTCCGGACATACAATACCCTGGTGTCTACAAACTAAGTTGCCTCTGTGGTAGTAGTTACATTGGAGAAACCAAACGCCATATCTCGGACCGCATTCGTGAACATAAAGCAGACCTTAAACACGGTAGGACCAACACCTCGGCCGTAGCAGATCATTGTTCTAATTCAGTAGGCTCACATGCCATTGACTTTTCCAAGACGGAGGTTCTTTGTAAGCCATCTGGCTTCCATGAGAGATTCGTTCATGAGGCTATCCACATATACAAACACAGAGACAATTTCAACCGAGAAGATGGATTCTATCTTAGCAATCATTGGAAAGATTTGATAAATCATTTCAGTTCTTGATTGATTGTTCACGCTTACAGTGGCTTTCAGACAGCATACATAAAAACAAATTTCGTCTCCCCCCTCCTCTTTTCAAAAAATAGATGGACTAGTCCTGGCAAACAGCCAATCGTTGCGCGTGACGCAAACGTTATTTTTTATATATATAAATAAATAAATATGCCGTTTTCAAAATAAATTTATGCAAACCGACACACCTGATGATGACCGTTTGAGTTATGGTCGAAACGTCGTGAGAATTTTTATTGTTTTATATATATTTTGTTATTTTGTTGTTTATCTTCAACGTGACTTTACCGAAAAAACTAAGAATATGAATTACTGCAGTCACGAAAGCTTTAAATCAAAATATAATATGCACTGTCCATGAATTTGATTGGTCCACACCCGAGACAGCTTTTCTTAGTGCCTAGTCTCCATTGGTGTTGGACCAGAAGACGCCAAAAGGCGTACAACTCAAAACAGTGCACTATCAGAGTATTGAGGGCTCGGGGTGAGCATTTACATTATGAGACCTCCTTTGCCAGAAACAAGATATAGGAATAGGTTTTACCCTTTTAACTAGCACAAAAACTGACACCTTTATTCAAGGCATCATGTCTGCAATAACCACAACACAAGCAGACAACTCTGATAATAAGGACAGTGCATATTATTATCAGAGTTGTCTCTTTTGTTTGCATTTTGACTGCTTGTGTTGTGGTTATTGCAAACATGATGCCTTGAATAAAGGTGTCAGTTTTTGTGCCAGTTAAAGGGTAAAACCTATTCCTATATCTTGTTTCTGGCAAAGGAGGTCTCATAATGACCCTATAGTAGTAAGTGCACACATTGGGGTGGGGGGGGGGGAGAAGAGGACATGACACTTTGAAGAATTTACCTCATCGTTGTTTTCTTGTACATTTTTTACACGATAGATAATCCCCTCCCCTCCCAACGAACGCGTGTGCGTTGCTAGGGGCTAATACTAAATAGTACTTAATACTTAATTAAACTACTTTAAGGTTGATGGATGTAAAATCGAATAGCGCTGGCATACCACGGGGCTTACCGCGTGGTACCTGGCTATTATTTTTTAAACATAAACCCCACGGTTCGCGAGGCAAATCCCTCGCAAGTTTCGTCCACACACACAGACAGACACACAGACAGACAGACAAAAAATTACAATGCAGACATGATTCCTTATAAAAGGTTTCAGTTTGGTGTATTAACAACTTAACACTTGTTTTGTTGCCAGATAAAAGGGGAAAAACCTATTCTCGTTATTTTGGTACTGGCAAAGGGGAGGTCCCATGATGTAGATGCTCACCCCGAGCTCTCATTACTCTGATAGTGCACGCCTTTTGGCGTTCTCTGGTCTAACACTGTTTGAGACGAGGCTCAAAGGAAAGCTGTCTCTGGTGTGGACCAATCAGTTTCAAAGACAATGCATAGCTTATCAGATTACGTTTTTTGTTTGCATTTTGACCACAAGTATTGAGGTTAATGCAGACATGATTCCTTGTAAAAGCTTTCAGTTTGGTGTTTCAACTTAACACCTGTTTTGTTGCCAGATAAAAGGGGAACAAACTCTTTTCATGACTTACATAGAAAACTAATCTTTAAAAGCTGAGTTAGTAAATAGAAAAGTTCTAATGTGTGTGTAAGTCGATGTCTGTGTGTAAGTCCATGTGTGTGTGTGTGTGTTCATATGTGTGTGTGAGTCGATGTGTGTGTGTGTGTAAGTCAATGTGTGTGTGTCTTTTTTGCCCGGGCAATACCGGGTACTTCCCACGAGTATATAATATATTTTAATATCTGATGCTGTTTCTTGATGATGGAGTACCTTTCTTCTGCAGGTCAAATTGCTTTTTTGCAGGATGTGGGGAGATTCATGCACATTAAGCTGCCACACAGGTAACCATGTGCCTTTGGATTCAGTACTCAACCTCATATGCACTAATAACGGCTAAATGTATTGCACATGTTACATATCTCCTGGATTTGAATACGTATTCCCATGTGAGTTCATGCAAAAGATAATTTTGCATCTCTAGTAATTTACGGCTTGTATTTCTTTCCACAATACATTAAACCCTTAATATTCGTTCAGGATATATTGCTAATAAATGATGAGTCATTAAATCCACGAATATTAATATTGAAAACTTATGGGGAAAATATGGTTTGGGGCATAAACATTCCATTTCAACATAAAGATAGCACTACATAATTTGTCGCAGAAATGCAAAACCGTGATTATAAAACCAGTGACTTAAGGGTTTACTGTACTTTGAAACCTTTTGAGTAACCATGACTCTCACAATTTGATCATATTACTACAATCTCCGTAATAATTTCTTTCCCTGAGCTGCTACAGCATAAATCATGTGATGTGGTACAGCAATTTTGGATAACTAAGCTCTCCTTGTGTCCTAAGCAGAGACATTTCACAATTTGTGAAGGAAACTAAATACTTGGAACCCAGATTTCCATTAATATGTGGGACTCATTGAAAGCATTCATCACAGTGAAATGTATTGCAATAAAATACATTGATTCCTATGCAATAGCCGTAGATGGTGAGAATGCATTTGATTTGGTAGAATGGCCTTTACTATGGCAACCACAAATATTGGACTTTTATGCCCTTAATCATAAATTCATGTATATAGCGCTTTTCATCAAATATCTTAAAGCGCTGTACAGGATACAGCAGCAGCAGACACTCAGCATAAAAATTATAAATACATTTTAAGAATAATTTACTAAATGAACTAATTGTTTAATAAGTGGAAGAATATAAATACATTTTAAGGTGCATTTTTTAAATGTCCACAGACTCAGATCTTGATATCTCATGGAAGAGCATTCCATAGCCTGGGGGGCTACACGAGAAAAAGCTCGGTCACCCATAGACCAAAACCTCGACCTGGGAATATAGAGATCTGCATCCTCAGATCTTATGGACCTTGAGGGGACATATGGATGCAGCATGTCAATGATGTAGGCTGGGGCAAGATGGTTCATTGCTTTATAAGTTAATTGGATTTTAAACCATATTCTATGTGAAACTGTAACCCAGTGCAGGGAGACCAAAACGGGTGATATATGTTTAACACGTCGGCTTTCGCGACCAATATCATCCATAACAGAGATTGCGAAACAGTAAGACTTCTCCAAAAATCTGGCTGTCGCCTGATGAAGCTAGTGGTAATTACTGACAAAACGTCGTGGCTTGGCTCTTCAACACACCGGTGTGCTGTACTAGTGACGAATTGGCATCTTCTGTTTACGTGACAACCCTTACGAGTTGACTGTCGGGTGGTGGCGGATTTTAATGACATATTTACGCGATCTAACCCAAAAAAACCTCTTATGGGTGTAATATAACCCTTATGTCACTGAAGAAGGTATTTTGGTTGACACCCTAGCAGCCGCATTTTTAACATGCTGCAAATTGATTAGCACCTTCTTAGCAACGTGAGGGAGTAAGACGTTACAATAGTCTATGCGAGATGAGTTGAAGGCATGTACCAGCTTTTCTGCATCTGAGGCAGAGAGAAGGGATCGGATATGGGAGATATTGCAAAGATGGAAAAATTAAGTCCGTGTGATCTTTTTAATATATATTAGTAACCATACTGAGCACTTTAAAAGAAACAAAAATAACACCATTAACATTAACGCAGGTACATGTGTTGTATACTAACATTGTGTTTGGCTTGTGTTTCATTTAATGTACGTTTATTCAGATGAAGTCCCTCAATGTAAATGTGGTTCTGTCGGTGCCATCATGCTGCACAGTAGGGAAATATGCATCTCTCCACACATGTATTTTCATCCTCTCTGTGATGCGTTTTTGTGTGCAGGCAAGAGGTGATCACCATTGCAGAGCATGATGGAGGCGGGATTGACCCTGACAATAACCCCACTGACCCCACCTCTGCTCTGCCAGCGCCTTCCAACCAATCAGCTTACAGGGACCTTTCCGCTAGCCAACCCCAGCCAATGGACTCGCATGAGGGATACGAAGATGAGGAGCTTTTCATTGAAGAGTTTGACTCTGACTAAGAATGACGAGTTTGAGATGGAAACCAAACAGCAGCACTATTCTCAAAGAATAAAGACAGACCAGGACTAATGAGAAGTATGGAAAAAGGAATGTTCTGTCATACAGTGGGCTTGAGGTGATCAAAGTCTATATTTATTATTACACTTTTACCCAGGGAGAAGTCTCAAGAGTTTTTCTTGAGGATCCTGTCTAGTTACTGCAGTAGGGGGCAATGTAATCCCGATTTACTAATTTGCAGGTAAATTTTCAGCATTGAAATGTTTTACCAATACCAGTTACATTGAGTATTATTTATCCTTTGGGTTCTCTGGTTTCATCCCGAGGAAATCCAAGCAAAACAGGGAAAAAATACAAACTCTACGCAAAAAGGCACCGGACTCGGGATCAAACCCATGTACTTGATGTGACACACGAGTGTTACAACTGCGCCACCCTACTGCCCTCTCCAATTCCCACAGGATTACTTTTTTGGTCAAATTGCTTTGCACTGTATGCCCTTGGTTCAATTGCCTTTAAGTAATGTAAGAAAAACAATGGATTGGCAGATAACTTCATTGTTAAATATGGAATATAAATGAGACTACATGATTAGTTGGGTCTAGCCTCGTTTTGAGTGTGCTCCCCAGTGGGCCAATTTGTTCCTAGAGCTGCTCCGCTACATTTGCAGTAAATGACCAAAGTGATGTCAGCTGTTAATTCACATTAAAGTTCCTCCAATATCAAGCACAATAGGAGGCCATTCAACCAATGTCTGTAAAATACAAATACATTGTATGAAAATAAATGGTTTGTAAATACTTGGCCAGATCAATGTTTGTGTTAGAACAACAGTGCTCTTAATCCTGTTGCGAGTTTTAATCCCACTGGGGTGGCAGTCGGTGGTACCTCATCCAAAACACTTTTTTTTGTTTAAATAACCTAAGCAGTTGAAAAGCCCCATTTTAGTTCAACCAAAATTGTAACATTCTTTGGGTCTTTCGGTAAAGTCACGTAGATAGAACAATAAAAGAATAAAAAATGAAAATAAAATGAATAAAAAAATATCACCACGTTTTGATGATGATCGCAACACGCAATCATCATCAGGAGACAATAGGGGGAAAGCTGCTGAGGCAGGCTGTTTTAAAGGTTTTAAATGGGTGTTGCTCAAGGGTCATAAACGAAGTGGGCGGGGCTAGTGACGTTAAAGTGAGAGAGATTAGCATGTCAATGTAAGAGATTAGCATGTCAATGTAAGAGATTAGCATGTCAGTGTAAACAGCGGCTGTGTTAGTGTGAACCTGTTAATATAAAATCAGACAGTCGAATATAACTGCTAACATCGGAAGGTAGGATGGAAACGTCATAGCCAGTTATGACCTAAGCTGGTTAATAACGTCCTTCCAATGATTGCTCAGTTTGTACGCATCTTCTCGGTTTAAATTGTGTCTGTCTATATATCTGGATGGCTTCATGAACGAATCTTTCAATTTAGTGTGAGCCCAACGCGTTAAAACAATGATCAGCCACGGCTGAGGTATTGGTCCTACCGTGTTTCAGATCTGCCTTATGCTCACAAACACGGTCCGAGACATGTTGCTTAGTTTCCCCAATGTAACTACTGCCGCAGGCACAGTTTAGTTTGTAGACAACCGAGAAGATGGGTATAAATTGAGCAATCATTGGAAGGACATTATTGACCAGTTTAAGTCATAACTGGCTGTGACGTTTCCATCCTACCTTCCGATGTTTTTGACTCTGATTTACATTAACAGGTTCACACTAACACAGCCGCTGTTTACATTGACATGCTAATCTCTTACATTTACATGCGAATCTCTCACTTTTACATCACTAGCCCCGCCCACTTCGTTTATGACCCTTGGGCTACAACCATTTCAAACCTTTCAAACAGCCTGCCTCAGCAGCTTTCCCCTCTTTTTTCTCCTGATGACGATTGCTTGTGTTGCGATCGAAACATCGTGATATATTATTATTTTTTATTTACTTTATTTTCTTTCTTATTTTATTTCGATGTAAAGCTTTCGTGACTGCAGGGATTCATCTTCTGGGTTATTTCAGTAAAGTCACGTAGAACGGAGATTAAATAATAAAAATAATAACAGAATTATTATAAAAATAATAACAGAATTATTTTTATTATTTTATCTCCATTCTACGTATTATTTTATTCTATCTACGTGACTTTACCAAAAGACCCAAAGAATATGAATTTCTGCAGTCATGAAAGCTTTAAGTCAAGATTAAAAATTGTAACACTTTTGGCTAATGTAAGTAGTTTTTTCAATGGTTTTCAATTTAAGTTAATTCTGATGGAATACAACAATTAATGAGTTTTAATTGATTCAAGCCATAGGGGCACATCTCTGGCCTCTAGTGAAGTGGGTATTTCGGTATCTCAATGGCCATTTCAATCCACCCTCACCTTTGTTCAAACAGAGGACTCAGGTGGTGGGTAGAGGTTGTGCCTCATGGCCAATCAAAAGGTGCCATGCCTGGGCCCTACTACGACCTCTGGCTGCTGCTAACCCTACAGAATACCGGATTGCAAGAGGCCTGCCCAACTCTATAGCCTCCAAACTAGTGGAGACAACAAAAGGGCCACTTGACAAAAACATCAAGCGAGAGATCCATCACCAATTACACCAGACACCAGAAGAGTCGACGGGTAAGTTCTTTCTTGTAGCCGCTTTCTTTGACATGGCTGCGAAGTTCTTTATCCACTTCGACACCAAATATAGTGCTGTTATTTCACGTGGACAACTTTTTTTTCTCCTGTGTCACTTTTATTCCAACAGAACTCCTCGCGTTCAACACCGCGTAACTCCGTCACAACTCTCCCACTTGCACTGCTCACCTCTCCACCGCTAGCCTGCTCTCTCTCATTCTGATAGCCTCTCCGCTGCTAGCCTGTCTCTCTCTGTTAGCCTCTCCGCTGCTAGCCTGCTGTCTCTCTGCTGGTCTCTCGGCTGTTAGCCTGTCTGCCGCGCTCCACTCTCTCCGCTCTCTCACTCTGCTAGCCTCTCCACTGTTAGCCTATTACGATACACTCTGCTAGCTTCTCTACTGCGAGCCTCTCACTCTGTACTCTGCTAGCTTCGCTGCTAGCCTCTCACTATATACTCTGCTAGCTTATCTGCCACTAGCCTCTCACGATATACTCTGCTATCTTCTCCACTGCTAGCCTTCCACTATATACTGTGTTGGCTTCTCTACTGTTAGCCTCTCGCTATATACTCCACTAGCTTCTCTGCTGCTAGCCTCTCGCTTTATATTCTGCTAGCTTCTCTACTGCTAGCCTTCTGCTATATACTCTGCTAGCTTCTCTTCTGCTAGTCTTCACACTTACACTGAGGATTCCGCTAGCTTCTCTCCTGCTAGCCTTCCTACCCTCGCCTCTCCAACCTCGCCCTTGCCTCCAGTGGGTGTTCAGCCATCACCGCTGGAGAGGACGAGGTGTCGAGAGCGGGGCCCTAGACTTGTGTTTGCTCTTCTCTTACTCCAACCAACTCAACCTCCTGCCTCACACGTTCCGCATTTATTCTTCTCATTAAACGCCCTAATTAAGCTGGTGTCCTCCCGTCGCCTATCGCACGTGGCATCCGTTGCTATGCCTCAATCTGCAGACTCCAAGGCGCATACACCGTGTCTGCATTTGCAACCAGCCAATCACCACTATGCATTCTAATTGGTCGCCTCTCTCTGGATTGCTCTCACAACGCACCGTTGCGTGACTTCACTGTCTGCGGCTCACACGTGCATGCACACTTGGCAAAACCCCACGCACGTTACTCCACTACACTTATTTCGCTCAATTCATACAAATAATGAAATACAAAATGCTTTACAGGACTAAATGAAGGGACTAACAAAATGTAAACGACAATAAGAATGATACGTAAAAAGACATAATGAACTAAAAGTGTAATAAAATGCATAAACAATAAAAGCATCCAAATTCAAATACAATCTAAAAAAGGGATGTTTTATGATTTCGCTAAAAAATATTCACCGATTTTTATTCCCTCAGATCCTCAGGCAAGCTGTTACAAAGGCGAGTACCATATAAGCTAAAGGCTGCCTCGTCATAGGTCTTGGTCCTGGCCTTTGGCATAACCAAGAGACCAGTGCCAGAGGACTCGAGGGATCTACTCGGTTCATACCTTAAAAACATATCAGACATGTATTCAGGTGCCAGTCCACTTAGTGACAAAAAAATCTAATAATCTTGAAATAAATTCTAAAGCTGACAGGCAGCCAGTGTAGAGACTTAAAAAAAAGGTGTAATGTGTGCTCTCCTGTCCTTCTGGTCTTGGTCATCATTCGTGCTGCAGAATTCTGAATGAGTTGCAGTTTGACTATTGCTTTCTTAGTGTAACGATTCGTCATAGTTGCCCTCACATGAAAGCTGAAGGGTAAGTTCTTGTAGCTATTCATGTCCTCGTTCTTGGAGTGGCGAGTCCCCGCACGCCACTCAGCTCTTGAAGTGGTCTCTCTGCACTCAACAGTTCATAGAGCCCTGCTTGTGGCCATGGGCGTGGCGTGTCGCCCCCACCCCACTCCAGCAGTAGAGACTGCACCAGGCACGTGCGGGCAGGGGAGGCAGAGCCTCGCCAGTCATACTCCAATGAAAATAGCTATTACGAAAAGTAAAAAAAAGAATCATTTAAAATAAATATTAATATTTTTCCACTGATCTGTTATAAAAGTAATTTCTGTACAATTCCAATCATTTTTATAGTCATAATCGCCAAATTTGCGGTGCTCCACTGTAAATACAGGAAGAGACGAGAGGTGAGTCAGCGACGAGCTCCGCCTCCCCTGATTGCGCAACCCCTCAGGATGGAGCGCGGGCAATAAGCACGTGTCTGTTACTATCTCAGTATGTCACCAATGTAATGTTTGTAGACCCCTTCATTTCATGTCCTCCCATACTCCAG